GGGCGTTGATGAAGATTAGCCCTGAGCTACAATCCATTGCCAATCCTCCTCTTTTTGCTGAGGAAGACTGGCCCTGGGCTAACATCCATGCCCATCTTCCTCTACTTTATATGTGGGACGCCTGCCACAGCATAAGCAGTACGTAGGTCTGCGCCCGGGATCCAAACCCGTGAACCCCGGGCCGCTGAAGCAGAGAAGGTGAACTTAACCACTACGCCACCAGGCCGGCCCCAGTCATTTAGTGTTTTATATGAATTTTTAAATTAGATAGCTAGATGGTTACACTATGTCTTGGCAATTCCACTTCTATGTATCTACCCAGAAATATGTCATATGTTCATCAAAAGACATGTATGAGAATGTTTAGCACTAGATTCATAATAGCCCCAAACTAGAAACAATCCAAATGCCCGTTAAGAGTAGAATAGATAGGGGCCGGCCCGGTGGCATAGTGGTTAAGTTCGCATGCTCTGCTTTGGTGGCCCGGGGTTCACAGATTCAGAGCCTGGGCGCGGACTGACGCACCACTTGTCAAGCCATGCTGTGGCAGTGTTCCATATAAAGTATAGCAAGACGGGTGGGGATGTTAGCCCAGGGCCAGTCTTCCTCAGCAAAAAGAGGAGGATTGGCAACGGATGTTTGCTCAGGGCTAATCTTCCTCACCAAAAAAAAAAAAAAGAGTAGAATAAATTGTGGAACATTCACACAAATGGAATACTACACAGCAATAACAAACTGAGTAATATGGATGAATATCACAAAAACGTTAAATGAAAGGATCCATACTCAAAGGAATACATACATTTGATTCCATTTCTATAATGTTCAAAGCTATAGAAGTCAGGATAATGATTTCCTTTGGGGGAGGAGAAGTGACTAGAAGGGGCGAAGAGAGCTTTTCTGGGGTTCTCGTGATGTTCTCTTTCTTGAACTAAACACTACTGTCTGTCTAGGTGGGTGTGTTCGTGCTGTGAAAATTCAGTGAGCTTATGATTTGTGTCTTTTTCTGCACCAATGTTATACTTCAATAAAGAAATTAAATTACTACCAAAAAACCCTTGTCTAGGTAGGAAATAAAAAGGGGAACAAAGAGGGAAAAAGAGGGAACAAAATAAGGCAAAACTGTTAAATAGAAAAAATTTAAGGAAACTGAATCATCTGGGTAAGGAACAAAAGGGTCACAGTTCATGTTTGTCATGTGGCAAGCCTGAAGGATCCAGGAGAAAGAGCCATATTACAGCTGCCAGCACAGGGTTGAAAAGGAGGTCATTGCAACAGGATGCAGCAGAAGGCCTGAGGCAATCTTATAAATGAAACAAACCCCAAGGGACATTCAGTAACCCAACAGAAATGTCTTTCATAATTCACAACTTTAAGAAGGTGATAGCATCCTCTTCCCCCAAATAGTGACCGACTTAAAAAGTCAGTCTTTCTTGAACCTGGATACAAACATATAGCGTTTCAATTCCTATGCTTATGATTTGGGAATGTTCACAGTCTGACTTGTCAGTTTCACAATGGCCTGGTCAGAAATCAGCTACCTCTCAATTATGCAAGCTAAAGAGGGTGGAACGTGCACGGATAACTTAAAGCCATAAAAACTCAAACCTGCCTTTTCACCATCGATTTTAATTTTCTTCCACCCCACCGTTCTCTCCAAAGTTGCCTAGGACGGATTT